TTTCTATGTATAGATAATATATATGTATTTACGAAAAAAATCTTTGTATTTATATCAGTTGTCTAGTACCCATAACATAATCTTCAGCTAGCTTAACTTGGGTCTAGATGAAGCTGTGTGAATTGTCCTGAGATTACTATTATTATTAATTGGTACACAGGTAAACTACTAACTAGGCCATATTGGTGTTGTTTGTTATGGTGAAAAAACTAGTATATATATAAGTTACACGTACAATTTCAAAGACTTATTTCTTCAAAACTACTGGCTATTCTGAAATAAAACTTTAGGGTTTGTATATGTAATGTTTGCATATAAAATATGATTAAAGGTTACCAGTGTATTTACACTTTTACTGAACAAACAGAGTTGTTTAATAGTGAAAATATTGTGTGGAAGACATCAATTACTTTCAGTACATGTATAGCTTTTCTCTTTTCCTAATTATTATTATTATTAAGTTTAAAGTGGTTGAATTTTACGTAAGGGGTATTTATACATTATTTCTAATTTACCATTTATTTTAAGTTTTTTAAACTCTATTCATCGAGACCTATCTAATGAGTCCAAACACGATATTTCTGCTGTACATAAGTTTTCGAAGAGTATGTTCATCATCTGATAATACTGGTGCCAGCATGAAGTCAAGGTTAACAGATAACTAATTACTTTTATTTCGTCAAAATCTTTAGATTACGTATAATAAATTCATAATATCGCTACCTATTCAAATCAAAACAAGTATTAGGTACTTCATGTACTAGTATATAAATTCATCAACACACAAGTAAATGATTTTTAAATATATTCAGAGCCAAAAAATCTTTGTGCATTTAAAAAAATTGCCGATACGGATTCACTATTGCAGGAAATTGTTGAAAAAATATATATCGCGTATAGGTATCTACTACTATCGACGAATACATTTGGCAACAACGCGCAACATATGCGATGTTGCCGTTCCGGCCGAGACCATGCCGGAACGGCAACATCGCATATTAGAATACAAAGATAGTGATAGAAAGAGAGAGACAGTGGAATCAGCAATATCTACGGATCGTGGCTGGATCAACTAAGTGTGCAAGTTTATATAAATGTATATATATATATATATATATATACATTTGTCTTTAATTCAAAGGAAATATAAATAATGAACGCATCACATTTAAAACAGTATAAATAGTTAATAATTTAATAATAAGTTAATAGTTTAATAAGTACGTACGTAATATTATCACATGGTAACAGCACGTATTATGGCAAAAATAAACATCGGCTGATTTGAAAAGATTTATTATAGTAATAATAGTAATCTCAGGACAATTCACACAGCTTCATCTAGACCCAAGTTAAGCTAGCTGAAGATTATGTTATGGGTACTAGACAACTGATATAAATACAAAGATTTTTTTTCGTAAATACATATATATTATCTATACATAGAAAACACCCAGACCGTTACAAACAATCATACTCATGAATACAAATGTTTGCAGCGTGCGAGGAATCGAACCCTCGACCACCAAGCAGGAATCAAAGCAGTGTGCTAGCTAAATCGCTAGACTACCGACAACTAGCTGTACCGCGTGGAATTTAACTTCTTATATTTTAGAAAAATAAAGTTAAATTCCACACGGACGAAATCCCGTGTACAGCTAGTCATCAATAAAAAAACACGTAGGTATCTCTAATATATTATACAGTAGCTGTTCCCGCGACTTCGTCCACGTGGTTTTTAACTTTATTTTTCTAAAATAAAAGTAGCCTAAGTTACTAGGTAGTAGCCTTATTACATCAGCTACCTGCCAAAAAAAGTCCCGTCAAAATCGGTCCAGCCATTTCAGAGATTAGCCGGAACAAACAGACAGACGGACAAAAATTGTAAAATATGTTATTTTGGTGTATGTACCGTATTTATATTCATATGCAAGTAGTAAAAAACGGTTATTTCAATATTACAAACAACAGGCTTCAACATTCTCAAGTACCACAAAAAAGATGTTTTTATTAAAAACAAGCTGTTCCCGCGACTTCGTCCGCGTGGAATTAAACTTTATTTTTCTAAAATAAAAGTAACCTAAGTTACTCCTTATAAATCAGCTACCTGCCAAAAAGAAGTACCGTCAAAATCGGTCCAGCCATTTCAGAGATTAGCCGGAACAAACAGACCGACAGACAGACAGACTAAAATTATAAAAATTGTTATTTTGGTATATGTACCTTATATATATTCATATGCATGTAGTAAAAAACGGTTATTTCAATATTACAAACAGACACTCCAATTTTATTTATATGTATAGATGTATAGATTATTATTTATTTATTTATTTATTCATCCAAAATAATACAAATTGTGTAGGATAACGTAATAGTAACATTACAGTAAAATTTTGTCAACAACATAATAGCAACTTAAATATTAAATCTCGGTATATCTATAGACTAGCTGGCCCCAGCGACTTCGTCCGCGTGAAATTTTATTTTATTTTTCTAAAATAACAGTAGCGTAAGTTACTCCTTATTACATCAGCTACTTGCCAAAAAAAGTCCCGTCAAAATCGGTCCAGCTATTTCAGAGATTAGCCGGAACAAACAGACAGACAGACAGACAAAACTTGTAAAATATGTTATTTTGGTGTATGTACCGGATTTATATTCATATGCAAGTAGTAAAAACGGTTATTTCAATATTACAAACAGACACTCCAATTTTATTTACATGTATAGATGTATAGATTAAAAAAAAAGTAACAGTCATAAGGCTAGTCGTATGCCTAATATATATAATAATGTAATAAATTCATTTAAACAGAAATTGCGGCAACATTATTTAAATTTGTAACTTTTTTACTGTCCTTCTCCATTTTTCACATCTTTCTGTTATATCCCTATAGTTCTCTCTATATTTTCTGTTTTTCTTACTTTCAATTTGAGACTGTACTTATAATTTGATTATCAGATCATTATGTATTTATTAGATATTAACTATTATATTATGCATAAAAAATATTTGTAATAATAAAGAAAATACATTTAAAATGTTTTACTTGTTGTGTTAGTTATTTATAAGATCTTACTATAATTGTTAGCTGCTTTACAATTTAGAAAGTACAATAGGTAATGTAAATTAAAATTAATTGAATACTTAACAACGTTTTGTTCGATTAAATTCATTTAATTATTAAAATAGTTAATTTAAAATTAGAATAAAGACAAAAAAAAAATAACAAAAAAAAATCGGTGGCGGGAATCGAACCTTGAGCGTCCGTTTGGTAAGTTGATTTGAAATTCAAAGGCTTATTTCTTCGAAATTACTGGTCATTTTGAAATAATACTTAGGGTTCGCATACCCTTATCGGATACTACTACTACACGGAGTTTCGTCAAAATAAAATATCTAGGTTAGGTATAATAAATTCATAATTAATAGACCGTTACGGTATCTGTATATATTCGGATCAAAACAAGTACTATGAAATAAGAACGAGTATATAAATTGATTAACACAAGTAATTGATTTTTGAAATATATTCAGAGCCAAAAAGTCTTGTTTCTTTATTTATGTACTTGTTAGATGCGACAGCGACTTTGTTTTATACTATACTATGTAATGATTGATATACCTAAAATAAATAAAATATCTGAGGTTTGGACAAAAACTCAAAGGGTAATTTATTTTGAAAAAGTATTTTGAAAATACCTATATTGCTTTTAGTGTTATAGTACTTTAACTGTTATGTTTTAAGTAACAATGTTTAATTATAATTAATACTACTGCACCAACACTCCGATCGTGCAAAAAAATTTGCTGTTTCATTATTTTTTAGTTCAATTAGTGGTCTACCTAAGTCCTGGGCTAAGGGGGGGAGAGTCATGACGCCCCCATGACTCCCATGACCTCCATGACGCTCCCCCCTGGATCCGCCGTTGCGTCTTCTCTTTATTCGCTCAGCCACGTTGTTACAAAAGAAAAGATTCCCGTCCAAAAAATAATAAGTATTGAGGTTTGATCTGGAGTCACGTTACTCCAGACTGATTTCAATAAATATTTAGATTAGATAGACTATTATTCTTGAAATACTAGCTAGACATTATTAAGTTACTGTAGCCATAATGTAGTAGCCCAAACGTGCCAATGAGGAAGCCCTTGGCAAATGCTGCACCCTGATTGGCCCGTTTGAATTGGATCAAGAACTGCTCGTATGCCAAAAAGGTGGATTTGTATAAAATCGTGTATAAATCGCTTAATTATTATTATTACTCGTCGTGACAGTTGTGGCTCAAAACGGATCAACATTTATATATGGTCAGCTGGCATTAGATCAACAAAAGGCCTCCGGATCAACAAGTGAAAATGGATCAACAAAAAACTACCTATACGGCACGTCTGAGCCACAAAGTGCCCAAGGGGATATTTATATATATATATATTGTATATATATTTTTGTTCTGTTTATATTTTGTTGCATTTTGTTTATGTTTATAATTTTGCACCGCCAACAATTATTCTCTGCACCACCTATGGTTGACTGGTAGAAAATGCCGCATGGTGTTAAGTCCGCCAAATGTACTATACCTACTATATATTATATTGTGTGCATTAAAGTTAAATAAATAAACAAAAAATAAATATACATATAACATATGAAAACCGTCTGTTTGTGTATTGTATATAATCGCCAGTTCTTTCATTAAACACTCGGCGCGTTTCCTTACACAGTATCACTCCTAACGCGGTGTAATCATACAGATAATGTTAATAATGGTATAATAATAACATTTCAGGACATTTCAGACATTTTAATACACGTAGAAGACCGATACAAACAATTATACTCATGAACACAAGTGTTTATATCGTGCGTGGAATCAACCCCGCAAGTAACCCCAGGAAGTAAGAGTGTGCTTAACCGTAACTAAAACAATGCAACTTGTACAAATTAAAGTAGCACTACATTCCTGCTGCATTTTTAATAAATCGTTTATTACTTCACCTGCCATCATTAGCCATGCAAATGACACCGCGCCTGTCGTGAGGTACTATAAAGTTCTCACAATCTAGATCGGCGTTCTTCAGACCAAATCCTCCACATTGTATCCAACAGTCCTTCACAATACGATGTACGGGGGTACCGCCGTATCCACCTCTCTTTTGTTTGCAAAGGCGTAAGAAATTCTCACAAGTATAAGGCACTATATCCGCATACAGCTAAAATTTAGATTATTTTGTAATTGTAATAGACATCAAACAGGAGACTAAGAATTTTTTTTATATTATAGCTACTAAAATATTTCTCATAAAATAAAGTATTCTACACGTACATACCATAAATATCATTGTACCAATAGGTTCATCATTTATCGAAATATGCATGTAGGCACATGGTCTCTGAAAATTAACGACAGATTACAATACGTAGAGGGATACACAGTAGAAGTTGACCGCCTAGACTAATAAAATGTCTCCACAGTGATATAAAGCAAATTTTTCACATTAGCGCCAAATAGACGTAAGCAATTTATTTCTTGACATAACAATTTGTGACCCCTCCGATCCGTCCCCCGTCCAATTCAAAGGAGGATCGATATTATGACGGTCTGAGCCGAGTTTGAACCCCTAGCGATGCCCTCTAAGACTAAAATCATATCGGTCAGGCGGGAGTTGGTCCCGCTCCTTAAGTCCCTTCCGCGGGTTTGGAGTGCCATCTCCACTCGCCCCCTATCGTCCGGTGAAGCTGTAAAAGCCAGCTGCGGCCAACAGCCTTAGAGTACTCCGAAAAAAAATGACATTTGTATGTGGATGATCTAACAGGAATTGTACCTACATACCTAGTTGGTACACATACTAATGGATCTTGGCGGGTGACTCTGATCTATCGGTAACAAAACGCAAAGAGGAGCTCGCTATGGTAAACTCTTACGATTGCCAAAATTGTTTATCGTAAAATAGAGGCATGAGAGTAACATTAGTTAACAAACGGATAACCAAATAATTTCTAAAACAAAATCAGATTATATACAATTACGTTTATATTTACTTACACTAGACGATCTTATAAATCTGGCGAATTGTGTCACGCCTTCATTGTAATAGTCCAAGTTAAAGTGATAAACATATTTTTTATCAATAAGTTCTTTTAATTCTTTTTCTCCACCGAGAAACTTGTCATTGATTAGCACAGCGACCTGGGATTTCAGACAATATGCTAATCCGCCATGCGTAACTTTTAAGTCCTTCCATACAGTAGGCCATTCGAGACTAGTTACACCTAAGAAGAACAAAATAATTTCATTTTACATGTACATTACGGACTCTATACTATATGTATGCGTAAGTATGTTCATCCGTTATTTTTTCACAACTAAACGGCTTAATGAATTAACTAGGTATATATACTTTTATCTGAAAAAAAGCAGACGAAGTTGTGTCTATCAGTTAGTTGAACGTATAAAAGTTTAAGGTAAATATAAAGGTATACATAAGGTTTAAAATTACTTCTATATATACATACATATATAGGTAATTTTAAACCGGTAACACTGTATACATATAAAGACAAACACGGGAGTTACTTCCTATCGATATCAAAATCAGCAGGGGATTTGCGGTCTACCAAATATAAATAATCTTGTATTGAATTTTTTATAAACAGCTGTACCTACTTCGCATGAACGAACTAAAGGTACCTACTACTAGATATTTTCGTTACCTCTGACTATTGGAGAATCAAAATGTTTCCATTGATATTTATGTAGTCCTTTTAATAAGTGAACGCAATAGTTAAATTCTTTTGTAACTCTATTGCCAATAATGGTAAATTTAACACGATCCGTTTTTATTATTTTGGTTTTCGGTTTCGGATATAGTGGATTGTTTGTTGAGTTGTGGGCATATTTGATTTTATTTGAATAAATATCTTTCACAGTTCTTTCCCACGGATGTTGGGAATAAGGTTTTTCTTGGGGATGCACCTCCGTATTAAAGAATGACATATTTTGTAAAATCTTTACAGCACCAAATTTTTAAACATTTTTACCAAAGAGTAGTAAAACTGTGTAAGTAGGCTAAGATAAGGAGTCTTTGATCATTTTCATTTTAATTTGATACTTACAAGAATGACACAAAATTTGGATGACCGATGAAACGGAAAGCTTTTTCGGTTGTCATATTGTGTTAAATAGAATATTGAAATGAAAATCTCTACCTAAGAATATTAAACTCTTACAGTGCGGTTTCAGAAAATTGTCCTCCCGCGTCGACTTCAAATAAGGAAACTTACTCAGCTTTTCTCAAGAGACTATAGCATGCGGTTTTTCAAGAAGGGTGTACCTTAAGGTTTCTTAAGGGTCAGCAATGTGCAAGTGACACCCCTTTTGTTTTAGGCATCCAGGGCCTACGGCAACCCTTTACCATCAGATGGGCCGTATGCATAATTGCCACCATAATTGTATAATAAAAATTATCACTCCACTTGCTTTATTTGAATGTAAAGTGAATGATATACACTTACATAGTGATTACTTACTTATAAATGACAATACTTCTGTAGTGATACTGTCATTGTCATGTCAGACTGTCAAAAACTGTCACATTTGTGACAAAGTCACTTCGGAAAGTGCTTTCCAGTGCAGTGATTTCTTGATTATTCGAAATCTGTTTAGTTTGTTTAGTTATTTAATAAAATAAATATATTTTTTGTAGATTAATAGACACACAATAGTATCAGAATCACTATACAATAATATATATCACTATATTTTATATTTATTGTTATTTTAAATATTCTCAAAATGGATTCAAATTTACCTCAAAACTTTTCTATTATTTGTGGTGATTTGTGCAATATTTTGTATGTGAAAGAATATGATAAATCTACAGTGAATTCTCTTATTGATGAACTTAATTCCAAGCCATATAAAGCGCAGTTGTTTGTCCGTAAGCATGTAAGTACAATTTTTTTTATACTGAGTCAATTTCTTGTAGGTAATGTATTATAAAAATAAACAAAACTAAGTTCTGTATTTTAAATTAAAATAGCTTAGCACGGCGTTGATACCGTTTTTAATTAATTTAAATTAATATTCCATTTAGAAAGAAAGAAACAGGTGTGAACTAATAAGTTTTTGTTATAGGTAATTTAGTTTAAATTAGGGTTGCTAAACAAACACTTATCTCCTCATATGAAGAAATGAAAACTTGTTTTAATTATGTTTATTTATATAATTTTTCTTTATGATTTCAGGATGCCACCGCACTAGTAACAGCATTATGTGTTAACATAAAACCTGTAGATGAGTATTTAGCAACAAAAACATCACATTTAATCAACAGTATACTCACTAAACAAAGTTTGCAGTTTGACAGTGACTACTTGTGGAAAGTGATATCTTGGCACATAAGTTGTATTAAAAAATGTTCCGATATTATATTACCGGACATTCTTCATAACATGCAATGTATTTTACAAATTAATCCTCAAGCCGGTCAAAAGGTAAATGTTTTTTTATGTAATTGGAATGACAAACAAGCTGATTGTCCACAGATGGTATGTGGCAACCATTGCCTAAATAAATGTACAGCACTATGGATATCAGATTATGATACGATGATACTATTCATACATTATTATTCCAGAGAATACTAATCTATTAGGGTTTTTTCACTCTTCAAATTAGAGAGTCAGCTCTTTGGTCAGTGAAATAGGTAGACAAGTTTTAAACAAAGTTTACCTCAATGTTTTATTAATTTAGAAAATTAATTAATTCATAATAGAACATTTTGTTTGTAGGGTAAGTTATTAATTTACAAAATGAATTATAATTAAAGTATAAGGTTATACTTTTCTGTTATAAAATTTCCTTAACAAACTAAGCGAAAAAATATTATTTAACTGTCACTATTATGTTCTATTACAGTTCATAGAAGATTTACTAGGTCTTGATGGGGTCTTGAGTAATTTAATAGACATTGGTAGAAGTTCCACTGTGACCACCCAAAATCCACTACAGATCTATCTTATTACATTCAAATGTATATCATGTTTAGTTACAACAGATGATAATAAAATAGATCAAACTAAGTCAATACCATTAATAGTGAAGGAAAGGATCTCACAACTTGTAATTAAGTTTTTAATGGAATACTCAATGAAGTCACGGGATGAATTTTTATATTGCAAAGTAAGTAAAATATTATTGTTTTTACTTTAGAAACTAGATTAATAATATTGTATAATATTATTGATTTATTCCATCTAATTATCAAATTGACATATTTATATGTGATAGGCATGTTGACAATTTATGATTTGTAATTAAGTTTGAAGGGTTGAACTGATTATGAATGATTTTCTAAAGATCTTTTAAGTTAACATTATCATTGAGTCAAATGACAACAAACAATAAAAGATTTATCTTTTTATTACCTCGTTTTATCTCTATATTATATTGTCTAGCGGTCTAGCACACAGCTTTACGTCCGATGATCACGGGTTCGATTCCTCGCACGGCACAAACATTTGTATTCATGACTATGATTGTTTGTATCGGTTTGCGTATTTTCTATGTATAATATGTATTTACGAAAACAAAATTATCTACGTATTTGTATCAGTTATCTAGTACCCGTAACACAAGCTTTAGCTAGCTTAACTTGGGACTAGATGGCGTTGTGTGTATTGTCCTGAAATTATTATATTATTACTATACCAAACATTTATTAAATAATTACGTTTATTTTCTAGGTAGTAATATCAGCTTTAAGGATACTATCTCAACTTTATTTCAATGAGCACCAGTTAACAATTCCATTACCAGAAGTAATGGGAATATGCCATCATTTTGTTTTACATGGACTTGTTACTCAAAACCGAACACCACAGAGGTTAATGCCAGCACAGCAGACTATAGCAACAGTACCAGTGAAAGTAAACCCAAAAGGAGGAAAGGTATATTACTTTAATTAATTTAATAATAATAATCATTAACAAAATGAGAGAAGAAATTTATACATAAAAAATAATTTGTCCTAATTGATGGATTGTCAACTAGCAGCCAAATCTATGAATTATTCTGAAATATAGAACATAAGTTATTTGTATAATATAGTCATTCAAAAGTAAATAGACACTTAACACCACATAATATGTAATGCTGCGGAAAAAGCTAGTTTTATATGAAACTTTATTTATTTTATATTTCAGAAACAAAAAATAAGGAAACAAAGAAATAATGCCATTGAAAGCTTAAAGAAGGAGATACCAGTATCTGATAGAAGTTTAATGAAAGATGTTGATAATTTTGAAAATAATTCTGCTTATAAACCTGCAAGCATGAACTATTTAGAACCTCAAAAATCTAAGCATTGCTGGATTTTGACAAGCGACTCTGATATGTCAGATATGGAAAACACAAGGGAAGCTAAGCTAATTGCTTTGAAATCTAGAGTGAGACAGAGTGCCTCAAATTTACTATTAGTTTTAATTAAGGTAAGTTGTCCTAAGATATGATAATACACTATTGCTGTAATTCAATAATCTCTCACAGATAGACAATGAATAGCCCAAATTTCCAGATTTGTTTTTCATATTCACCCTAAATAACATTTTTTTCTTTATTTATTTAGGGACATTTTTTCTCCCTAAATAATATTAGTTAAATTAAATACTAAAAATATACTAGCTACTAGATACTTTGTGCTAAGAATCAAATCTTAATTGACTTTGAACCATCTTAATCAGGTGTTGAATTTCTTGCTAAAAGTTTCTGATTGACTTTTATTCATCAAGCTCTGAAGCAAACAGTATACAAATTATAGTCTGCGAGCCTGAGGCTTTTTTCGCCTATTATGATATTTACACCCAGTAGAAAACTTCTAAGATGAATATTCTGTAATGAAGCTTATTGTTAGTGAAAGTTAACTGCAGTTTCGTATGAGGAGTAGCATCCTCGCAAACATGTAATAAAAAGTGCAGTCATTTCGTCCTGCTCCAAATTACTGTCAAAATCAAAGTTAATTTGGATTTTGAAGATAAAAAATAGTCTTAGCGTGGTGTGTCACTGTACTCTATACTCAAAAATTTATTTTTATATGCTATTTTTATAAATAAATTGTCGGCTGGCTGGCTCCCACCACTTTAGAAGTTTTACTAAGAAATTGGTCATCTTGACCTGTACCTAGCTTGCGGGCCATAGTATGTGATTATGTATTAATTTTCTCTATGACCAACATATGTTATTTATAATATTCAGATAACAGAAAAGAAAGATGTATTTGGCTATTGGTGGGCACTTCTGCCAGATTCACCTGACTCTCTCAATTGGTCTACTGACGAGTCAGCTAAGAAGAGCCTAGCTTACTGTGCTGTCACAGATCCCATCGCCAATAGTCGAGCAAGTGTACTAAGTGTTATATTAGCACTATTATCTGGTTCTAGGATGTTTCTATCACAAGCAGAGACAAGGTTTGTGACTAGGAATAATATTATGATGTAAATAATATTTAGTATGTTTAATGATACATTATTTAAAAGAACCTTATTGACTAGTTGATCTTATTTTATTCTATGTTATACAGATTAGACTGTGTTCTATATTTTCTGTTAGACGAAAATCTATTGAATATTTTGAATAGTGTGTGATTGGTATTCTAATTATATTTTAATGTATTGTAATAGAATAGAAAAATTTATTCAAATAAAATCAATTATAAACACGTTTAAATACCCCTTTACATATGAGATGTGTATGATCTTTTTTACTATGAAGGGATGGTTATAAATGGGTATCAAATTTTTATACTGTCAATTAGAAATAATAACTGTCATTACCGTACTGTCATTAGCTCCTAAAAATTTTGTTAAATTATGAAACATACGATAATACTTTTATTTTTATATTACAGCAAAAAAGAGAATACTTCGTTTATCCCATTTTCTGTATCTCTCGGATACGTAATTACCTGTATGCATCAAGTTCTAGTCAGTATATTGGACAGTGAGAGGAGTCATGCGGTCATCATTGTGGCCTTAAAGTGTTGCGCCGCACTAGTACAGGCGACGGCCTATCATAAAATGAGAGAAGGACTTATCAGTGATTTAGTTAGATCTACCAGAAAATTTCTGGTACATAGAGGTAAGTTAGAATAAAGAGAAATCTTCCCATAAGACTTGCACTATTTTGATACCTGTTAAAGTGCATAAACAACGAAGTAAAATTTTAATATGTAAATGTTTCCATGCATTGAAACACTAATATAATAAAAGACATTCACTTTTTTTGCAATTGTAGTATAAAAGTATTTACCCATAGTAAGTAAAATATGCATCTAATTTTCAACCGCCAACCAGAAGGATGTGTCTTATCTATTCTTTGCGTGTTTTAAACTTTCATTGAATTTGAAAGCGAATTGGGATTGTAATCAATATATAATGATATTTATGTCTATTTTTTAGATGTAACATTACAAGTTGGAGCATTAATAACCATGGGATGTGTATTATCAGTGGATCCAAAAGTTGATGAAATTCAAAAGTCAGTACAAAAAGACATAGTGCCTTCAAAAAACGTAGATGTAGTAGAAAAAGATAATAATATAGATAGTGAAGTATGTGATGATTTCGAAGAAGGTTACTCTGATGATGAGATTATTCCCACTAGTCATCCAATTACTCCAAAATGTGATAAAGGAAGAGAGTTAGAGAATCTGTATTGTTGTACTAGTTGGATATTAGATATATGTTTCAAGAATATGGGTTGGATATTTAGAGGAAACCAAGTAATGGTAAGTTATTTGCAATTGGTTAACACTACAATAATGGCACATTATATCATTTCAATAATAATATATGGTGTAATAAACCTAGGTCTGTGCACAACAAAAATCTGCTTTTGCCAAACACTAAGAAATTAAAATTCATCACTCCTACGAATATGCTTCAATTCTTGTCCCTGACGGGTCTAGGTAGCGAACTCTGATAAAAGGCGAGCACATAGATCTATGTAGATCTATAATAGGCAAGCACAATAGCTTAAACCTCCCAATTAAAAAAAATCGTGTAACATCTAAAGTTTGACGTAATTACTAAGATACCATCCATACTAGTATTATAAATGCCTAAGTGAGTCTCTCTGTCTGTTTCTTACTTTTTTTACGACTAAACGTTTTTCAATAATATTTCAAAACGATGATAAGTATTTTAAAGATGAACATAGCTGTGCAGTCACAGATTCTTAACAGCAGAAATAGGCGAGACTAATTATTGAAATCTTATTCTACTTCTTTATGTTGTTATTCCTTTTTTAAACATAGTTTTTCAATTATATTACAGAGATGTAAAACGCCCGCTATACCGATAGTACTGGAATCTCTACAAGTACTTTCGGCGATTTCGTTCCACCATTTCTCTGAGCTACTTGTACCCCATCTGTCTCTGTTGGCGGACATTTTGTGCGAGATGTTGCAACATGAACATCAAGATGTGGTGCTGCAAGCGGCCAGAACCACAAGCATAATCGGAGATGCTATTCAGAAGTTAGGTAGGTCAAATTATACTGCTAGAGCAAACATACCGACTTCTGTACTTTCATGTTAATCCTTTATTTTAAATGCGAAAGATTGGTTGTGTCTCTTTTTGATACCTTTTCACGATTAAACATAATCCGAGTTGAATCACGAGGGTGAACATAGTTTAGTATTTGTCTTAATAAAGCATACTTAGTCGCGGGAAATTGGAAAATGAAATGAGGACAAAAATATGCCACCAAGCTTTGTTATAGATATATTTCTAGAATGTATTACACATACGTGCTTTATTTTTGACGTATTTATACAATCTGCTTTGTTAACAAATTAAACATTACTATTGGATGGATAGGTCCGTAATTAGAACTTAAAATAGTTTTTAAAATTAATGAAAGCCATTATTTCAACAACACAGAACAGTTAGATCAGTCGCCGCCTCTGAATCAATGCGTGAGCTTTTGGGAGAAACTCCTCACGCCGCTGTCGTTGGTGCTGCAGAATCATGAGAACCCACCCGCAAAGACTGTAGTGTGTGACTGCATTGCTAATATAGGAGAGAGGTCATTCAAGGAATTGCCGGTAAGACATGAAATAATATATTCTTTTGGATTATTTATAGTGTACAGTGTTTTTTTCAAGTTCATGTTTCATTTTCATGTTGTGGCTTATTTATTCTACTTATTTTGCTATTGCAACATTTTAAAGTAAAAATTAAAATTTAATAGTTACAATAGCGTGGGTAGATATACATTCCAACTTAGTGCACAAATGACTCGTAATCAACGATTAATACAAAATAACATATTGACTGTTATTTCATAGGATAGTCAGAGGCATTGTCAATTACCGACATCATAGTGAACGCAACGCTTGACATGTACACATTTCGGTGGTTATTTAGAGAGGACTTTAATATATAATAAATTGTTTTTTTCAGCAAATATATTATTGTAAAATTTATTATAATAAAGTACATACTAAACGGAAATATTTTTCTCTGACGAGTTACTCACTTGTCGGCGACTTGATCACACAAGCAATAAGAACGCGCCGCGTCCGCGCGAGTTTGTATTATGCATTAAAATTTGTATATGAAATCTTTACCTTTAAAATTAAAATTGGCCGTTGATAAAAAAGGTTGCTCCCTACCGGTATAGCACGACCATAAAATCAAAGATTTCTAATGCATCCGTGCTGCGACACCGGGATGGATCGTTAGTAATATATTATTGAGTTTTAAGTATTATTGAGTATGGTGTATCTGTGTACAGAGTCGCACGCAAATGGTATGCTGTACGCTGCTGGTAGGATCCTGTGGTGACGAAGAGGCTGCTGTACGTGCTGCCGCCGTCCGTGCCCTTGCTATGACGGTCGTCTATCGTACACTTAGGGAGGTACGTAGTTTTACACATTCAATTGACCTCGAAAGTACAAACTCATAACAAAGGAACTGTTTGTGACGTCATTCCTATAGTTTTGTGACATGATTCCTATGGTTTTGTGACATCGACGGCTTTGGTGGTTTAGCACACCACTTTATTTCCGATGGTTGCGGGTTAGCTTCCTCGCAGAGTGCAAACATGTATTCTACACTTTTAAAATTCATTTATTTCACGTTAGACTAACGAGGCCGTCTCTTTATGACCATTGGTTTGTTTATTTAAGGACATTTGCTTTGTGAGTGATTGTGGTGAGAATATTGTACGCGCGCTGGCGGAACCAACACTGGTGGTGCGTACTAAGGCTGCTTGGGCCCTTGGAAATCTCAGCGACGCCCTCGTTTTGAATATGTAAGTTATTTTATATAATAACAGTAATCCAATTAATAAGTGATCAAGATTAGTGCCTTAAAGAAAACCGCAGTCTTTCGGATTTATTCGGCGTATTGTCGATGTTTGTATTTATTTATGGAAAATTATATAAAATATTTTTAGTGCTGGTCAGATACGAAATCGCGACAACGTATCTATACGTCGGAGTAGTAATCGACTGTACCACAACACTCAGTGTGACACTCCAATAAATAAACAGATACTTCAGATGACTGGAACGACTGGTTAATGCACAATCATATAACGACTTGTTGTTTGCTACATAGACTGACTGAGACTGGTGAAAAATATGCCTATTTTATATGTATATATAAAATAGCTATGTTATAAATTTTAATAGAGATATGTACCTATGTATTTCTAAAATAATATTTATACTTCTATCAGTTGTTTAGTACCGAGAATGCCACGGCCAGTTATAATTTGTTTCCTTGATTCCAAAGCTTACACTTCACATACACACAAGCTCACAAAATTCGTACTCTTCTTATTTATTTTCATATTAATACTCCAGACATATAATGCGCTAAACTGTGAGCGTTTTCCTTGACCTAGAATGCGATAAAATATACGTAAGTAAACATGTCCACATTAAACGATGAGGTCACCTCATTGAGATGCCGCTTATGTGGCGCCAAAAATGAATTATTTTGAATAGCAAATAAATAGGTAACCTTACAATTCTGTAAGAGCGATTTGGACTACATTTATACTAGTCTAAATATGTGTTATAGTCATTTCTGTCTATTTCTATATGGTATAAGAATGCTTTGTATGTATGTATATATGTATATCATAGATAGTCTGCATCGAGTCTACACAAGTAGCTATTTCTGACATTTTTATGTTTCAAATATAGTAAAGTATACATCCTCCGATCGATACTTCGTCCAATTCAAACGGGGATCGAAATTACGACGGCCTGAGTCTTGGTTCGAACCCCTAGCGGTGCCCTTAGACTAAAAACATATCCGTCGGGTAGGAGTTGGCCTTCACGCGCCATCTGCACTCGCCCCCTATCGTCCGGTGAACCTGTAAAGGCCAGCAGTGGCCAACAGCATTTGAGTAGTCCGAAAAAAAGTAAATTATGACATTGTAGTTCTTATTGCATCTTTTTGTAACGGACTGTTTAGTGGACGTTGCTCTCAATCCGACTATATTTATATAATAATACACTCATTTTAGTTTACTACAATTTCGTTTTTATTAGGATTGAATTAATTATTTTATAAACAAAATATAGGTACTTGAATTTATAAAACGCCTACGAAATAAATATAGCAATATTAAAGTAAAGGAACTTGTGTTTCTAAGGAATAGTTTTGTTTAAATTCTTGTGTTTGCTTGAAAAATAAAAAATATTTGTCCGAAATATTATATATTACAGTAGAGCAAATAAGTTGTAAAATTAAAGATTTCGTTACATTTGAGGTATGCATTAATTGGAAAATGTTAAGTTCACTACTAATTAGTTATTTCGTTTCTGGTTGCTAATATAGGTAACATTTCTTAACGCTAATAATAAAGATGTTAAACTGACAAAAAGCATTGCCTACTGCTAATAGACCCGTTATTTCCCCTAAAAAGCTCTGAATTATATTATTGATTGTGTGTACTTACTAAGTTTAGAATACTATAGTCATAACTATTTTAACTAAACTTAACTTGTTAAACAGGGAGGAGCCAGATATAGACGATATAGATGATCATTTGTTGCGTCGGCTTCTAGAGGTCAGCATTCAATGTGCCGCCGATAACGATAAGGTACCTATTACACATAATGGGATTATTAAATTCCTAATTAATAATAATGTTTTTGAGTGTAAACACTTTGTGTAGGTCAAGTAGGTATATATTGTATGTAAATATGATTAAGGTGAAATAGAAGAAATTAGAACTCACTTCTTCACATTTTATAAGAATTATTTTTAAACGAATCGTACGTATATTTTCATCTTCGGGTTTACCCAAAATATATTTGAATTATTATTCCGTAACATTTATATTTCTGAAATTCTGATTGAAAACTTAGAAAGAGCTCTAACAGCTTAATATTGTTAGAAAGAATAAGGGTAAAAGTCATCTGCGTGGTCTCAGTTTCATCTGTTTCAGCTGGCAAGCAGCTTGGTTTCTAAACAAATTTCATTTAGGGTAATAGGTTAGGCAGTGAAAATACAGGATTGAGGCATGATTTCTTAGTCCTCGTGAATGGCAACGCAGTAGTGTTGTCTCAGGTCTCACATGACAACAGGTCTCACGTGTAGGGGGTGGTTACCGCTTAATATAAAGTGGGCAGTTAGTTCGTGTCAACTTTTGATACAATATTCAATTTGTAGTTATATCTGTCTGGGGCGTTGGTGGCACTTCATTGTATTACCTACTCTCGTTATTGATACAATAAGGCGTGCACGTGTTTGCTTATTAACGTAATGTTTCATTACTTTATATGGTCAAAGTACAGGACAATTTATGATCTTGATCAATTTGGACTTTTTACCTATATCAGGGAATCAACTGGATATTTATAAATACACTTGTTTACTCTTATACTGTTTTCCTGTTTGTAATAATGGGTGTACAACATTCGAAACGCGTAATCAAAATCATACCTTTAGAAAGAATACTAAAAAAGAAGGACAATGTGTACTATATACCTACATAGATTTTTTCTGGGTTGTGTATCTATTTGTTCCTTCTGTAGTGTAAATAGATAATGTAGTATGTACAACGTATTATATACATGCATATAGTATTATTATGTTTTACAAAATGTGTTATAATAATATAACATTCTATACTATAATTATGAAATTAATTAATTTCGTCTAAATTCTTAGTTAATAAAAAACGAAAAATATAAATAAAAAAACAGCATTGGTAGCAGTAGATTGTATTTTACATATCGATTTCAACATTCAAATTTCTATTTTTTTTTCAGATTAAAATGAGTGCTACGCGTGGGCTTGGTAACTTTTTGCGATTAATAAAAACTGAACATTTGGTCCGTAGCCCTCAAATTAAGATTTTATGTGAGACGGCTTTAGAGAAGCTTTTAGATTGCGCATGCAAAGTGAACAATATGAAAGTGCGTTGGAACGCCTGTTACGCATTGGGCAACGCCATGAAGAATGATTATTTGTTCACATGCTTCACTGGTTGGCAGGTACTTATACAGATGTTTTTTGTTAACCTACTTTATACGAATAATTATGAATAAATCGTTAACTTTGTATATCCTGCCAATGTAATGGTAGCCTCAACTTGAGGGGCGCAATAAACTCGTCGCAGGTCAAATTGATTTTAAATATTATACTGGTACTCGAAGTTTTTGTATTATGAACATTCATATACTTCATAATAAAATATTATTATATTATATGCAATGTTTGTTAATGTGTCAATATTTCATTGACGTGTTTAAAACAAATATTTAATATATTTTAGTGCACTAATTGAAGTGATAGTATAGTAAATCTCGCTTAATATAAATATTTGATACTACTCGTGCACACATTTTATTTACGAGCGGGATTAGAATATGCTTCGTGTATTAATTACAGGAATTAAAGAAATATAATCTCAAATAAACTTTATAGTATTTGCCAAATACAAAGGAAAGATTAATGTCACTTTATATATCTTACGTTCTGTCTATTTTGTCGTGTGTTAAGGATTAAAAAAATATTTGTTAGTGGTAATCTCACTAGGTTATAAGACACGTCATCAGAGTGTTGTAATTGATACGACTATATAAATGTTTTTTCTTTTTAATGTAATTTAGGGTCTTTTGTACAAACTAAAAGTACATGTCAGTCCCATTGTACCCTAAAACTAATGCCTATATTACGTAAATTGCCTTAGCTGCACTATTTTTGATTGGCTAAAACACTTTGTATGGCACTAACTTCGAATGTATTTTAGGCTCTGACGTTAAATGATGTCGTAGACTCTCGTTCTTGACATATTCCATTAGCAAGAGATATGATGTGTATCATTTCCAAAAATGCTATACATCTTCCTTTCTAAAATATTAAATAAAATACATAGTGAAATATGAAAATTACAACAATATTCCTTCCAAAATGTATGTTACGAGTATGTTAAATCTGCCATTAGTTGGCGTTGGCGAGCTTTCAAGCTAAGCAGAACTGGCAAGAAACGAATCTCTTAGTGTTTTCAAATGATCTTGTACATGTTTACAAAAATATAGATTCATTTTTAAATTCAATTAGGGGATGAATGACCACCAGCATCTGCTATTATAATTTTGTCAAAAGGTATTATTAAAGTATTTGATATTATATTTAAGTACTCATAATATTTTCAGCGTCAGGTATTTTCGAGTTTATGTGGACTAGCTCAAGACTGCAAGAATCTAAAAGTGCGCATCAATGCTGCGGTGGCACTGCGGGCGCCTAATACTCGAGCGCAGTACGGGCCGCAATTCGCCTCAGTATGGAGTGCGGTCATGGCTGCCATGGATAATGCTGCTAATGTTGATGATTTTACTGAATATCAGCATAAGGATAATCTCATCGAACAGGTAATCATTTGTCAATTTGTATGTAACTGGAATGACAAACAAACTGATCTGACAGAAAATTCCAACTTTCCCCTATATATTTGATACCACTTTAGACGTCAAGATAACTCTTCAAAACGAAACACAGCCTCTCGGACAGGACGGAGACGGAGAGGACTTTAAAAAGTCTACCGCGTCAATATAATTAACACTTCTGACAGCAATCAGGCAAGACAATTTAAGTAAGTTCAGTTAACTTGGATCATACATATTAAACTGAACCTTAGAACGTTTGCGCACTAGAAAACTTTATATGTGATATTGTTAGGCAGGTCACGTGGTATAAAATTGGTTTTAATTATGTTTTCCGTGTTTAATATCGACTTTTATTTATTGCGATTTTTCTCATTTTGTAGTTATGTATCACCCTCGCGCACATGTGCTGTATCCTCACGAAGTCTGATCTGACAGATATCCTGGATCCTCTGGTATTCCATCATGAATGTGCGAAGAGTTTGTACACACAGCTGTGTCATAAGCTGCCGCCAGAAAATGCATCCTGTTTGAAGATATTGCAAGCTGCTAAATATGTGACAGTCGATTTGACAGCAAGTGGGAATACACAGCAGCAATCATTGGGAATGCTTCAAGACATTTTTATATGGGACATGTAGCGTTCATAAATATTTTAAACATGTACTTTAATTTATAAGAGTTAATAATAGATTGCTATTTTTTGTTTGAAATAATGACAGTGATTGATACATTGTTATTATTTATGGCATTTAAAAATATATTGTACATACATTGTGAGAAAAACCGTTATATGACTGATGTGATATAAATTATATCGGTTAAAGCCAGTGAAGGTCTAATATTTTGTACATTTTTCTCCGTCTAACTGTTGTAATAAGCATATTAGTAAATAAATTTACATTACAAACTGTTAACTTAATTTTTGTTAATTTATTAAAATGCAATAATTATATATACTATTAACATACTTTGGTTGGCTTTTTGTTTAATATGTACCATCTCAGTTGATATCAGATGTGTAGTGAAATCAGAGCCGATTTCTCATAATGTGTCTGCTCAACGGATTTTACTTCCACCACGTCTTTTGAAATACTGTCCTTGATAATATGAATAGTAACAAACAACCCTCCAGAATTAACACAGCGCCATCTAAACCCAAGTTACTTATGTTGTGGGTACTAAACAACAGACACAAATAGTTACATACATTTTTTTGTATATTATATATACATATTTTACATAGAAAAAATCTGATATACGTGTCATGTGTATACTACTATACATAATCTAATCTTGCTAATTTGCCATTTTTTATATGTATGTGATGACGACCTCGGTGGTCTAGCTGTTTAATATACCACTCTACTTCTACGATGATGATGGTCGCGTGTTCGATACCTCGCAAAACATTTGTGTTCATGAGTATAATAGTGGTAGTATTGGTCTTGGTGTTTTCTAAAAATGTATTCAAATATTTGTATCAGTTTTTTAGTACTAACTCATACATAACACAAGCTTGTATTAGCTTGAGATTAGAATGCGCTGTGTGAATTGTCCAGATATGTTACTTTATTATTAGATATAATTTTTGTTTGCGTTATTTAGTTACCAATATTGTTATGTACGTACATTTTTGCTTATAATTATGTACAATGATATAACTTTTGCCCTGTCCTTTACAATGCAGAAATAACAAAATTGATATAGCGTATATATTACGCACGAAATCACGCTTGCTACTAATGCTCAAACTTAAAAAGATTATGAATAAATAGATAACGTAAATTACATGCTTATAGATGTGGGAAAGTAAATAGTTCAAACTATAGGTATTGTAATTAATAGAAAAATTGGACTAATCACCAACGCAAAATATTGTAATTTTTAGTCCTTAGGGGCCGTTCAAGTATTACGTAAGCACTATAGGGGGGCGGGGGGTCTTTTCTTTGCTTATTTTGGATGACATGGGGGTGGGGGAGTCTGTATGATGATTACGTCATTGGTCGTAATTTACTTTTTTACACGAATGGCAACCCTCACATTGTCTTTGCTAAAAAAACAATACATTAATTGAGAGATGTTTACGTAAGCATGGGTGGAGGGGGTAAGAGCTTTGCTTACTTTTGCTGACAACGGGGGATGGGGGGTAAATAATTGTGATAAATCTGCTTACGTAATACTTGAACAGCCCCTTATGCTTATGCCAGAATATAGCTTACGAAGCAAGCTCCTTGATGCTTGACGGCTGAATTGGTTTTAAAAGAGGTACCTACCTCTTTTAAAACCTTTCTGCCCAAACTCTCGTAGACGATTCTGTACAAAAAGTACTTGCTTAGAATCAATGTCGAATTACCGTTGCAGCAGTTGAATTAATTGAATTACAGCTGCTGCGTTTCACCATCGTACCACCCGCCGGAAACTAAAATACCATCCTGATCATCTGTATGAAGGGCGGCTCCACAGGTCGATTTTCAAGAAATGCACGACCACATTGTGGAATCACCTTCCAGCAATGGTATTTCCGAACCGATATGATATTGAGAACTTCAAGAAAAGAGCTAATTCCTTCTTAAAAGGTCGGCAACGCACTTGCAATTTCCCTGGTTTAGCGGGTGCTCATGGGCGGCGGTAATGACTTATCATCAGGTGCACCGTAAGCTCCTTTGTTCCATGTGCTCTAAAAAAAATTATAGAATATGTATCCGAGAAATATTTTAAAAATTCCAACGGTATCGGGACATACAGATTAACGCAGGTTAACCCGTAGTTAACAGCTTCTTATACATAAATTGCAATGTAAACTACTTAATATGATAAGTCCATCCCGTTCTAGTAGGTACCTAACTACTATAATCATTTGTATCTAAAGTGCTTTTGGTAACAGAAACCGAACACGCCTTAATAAGTAGGAAAGAATAATTTATTAGTTGGTAATCAATATTATTATGGACATTACCTATTTATAGCCATCGGTTTATAAATATACCAGGTATACGTACTAAACGATATTAGGTATTTACATTTTTCAACAACAATTAGTAACGGAATTTTCTTTACTGGTAATTTTATTTCTTGTAATTACAGATATATTCCGTAATACTTATATATATAATATATATATATATATATATATATATATATATATATATATAACAAAATATTTATAGTTAAAATATGATAATACGTAGTTAAACGACTTCTGTAAGCTATGAAGGATTCGAGTCTCTTGACGCATTTTTATGCTTAATAGGAGGCTTTAATAACTAGACATAGGTAGTTAGGTAAAAGTGGTGTTACGAAAATATTAAGATTATTGAATGAATACTTAATAAAATAATAGAACGTAGGAGCGCGTGATCGCTTTTATTACTCGGAACTGTAATTACACAACAGGACGATTACAGTCCTAAAATGTAATAATCTCTTCATACAATTGAAAACGTTTTGCATTTGTGACGTCAGAATAAACCCTGTACTGAAAATTTTAAGTGATTAATTAATATAAACCTGTTTACCTCTGTGACTACGGTATCCAACATGATTTTGCACACTCTCTGCCCAGAGGGCACTTAATCCTATATGTCATTTGTTATTTATAATTTTTACCACTTGTGAAGTAATATCATAAACGAGATATTGAAAACCTACACAATTAAATTTAATGATTTATATTTTCAGTGAGTTACTTTTAATATATGATCTCAGGTTTTTAGATCGTATGTCACGACATAAGCTCCTGATGAAAGGTCTAACAAACTGACAAATAGTGTCTAATAAATTTGTCACTATTTCAGTAGGTAGTGTTTGTCGCGAAAAGCTGTAATAAGTACATTATCTCGCCTGTCATGATTAAACAAATACACTAATGAATGGAATATTTTCGATTCTTGGCGTGTTGTTGGGGTTATCACTTTTTATATGGCAAACTACGTATGTAGGTACCTACGTACTTATTGAAATTTACATGAATGCTCAAATCAAAATACTGTGACATGATATAGAAATAATAATGGTTTTCGTACGTAGATATAATCAACAGCTTCCATACTAATAAAAGTAAAATATAGTATAAATGCGCGTCTGTTTGTCATTAGAATTTCAAGGAAACTGCGAGTCTTATATATAAGAACAGTATTATGGACATCAATTGCCGTCCGAGATACTGTTCATGAAATGCCATTCTGGAGTACTAACATTTCATATCTTGTAATTTCACAAACTTTAATCGAAAAATATTACAAACCCAGCTTGGTGGTTGAAATAGACGAGGCTGAGGTATTTTTTTTAGCTATGATAATGTGATAGTGCATCCGCCTGCGCTAACGGTTTACGCTGGCAGGGGACCAGTGGAGGATGATATGAGCATGAGGTCAGGTCAGTTTGCCCATCGTTTCAAATTCACAAGGAACTGGTCACGATGGTTTCCAGGGGGAACCGCGTGGAGGTCTATCTGACTTAGTACATTGTTAGCGATGGAGTAGTTACTTTACATTGCTAACAATATCTTTCTCTCCTAACTGAGGTATTCACGAAGGCGACTTTTTACAAAGTAGTGTAGAATATGTATACTTCGAAGTAAAATAAATAAATTAGAGAAATACGAGGACATAGACTACTTTATTTTAAAAAAACAGGCGTAGTTGGTAAGAGCTAGAGTTGAATAACATCGAATAGTATTACAGAAACAGCTACGACACTCGTTGTTGTTATTCTTGAGGACTAAGGTGTTCAGCTACTGAATTATTGTAGATTCATTGACATACTTCGTTCTTCAGACTTAACAGTAAAAATGCTTGCAAGGTAAATATATAAAATAACACTTACAAAATAATAATTAACATAAAAAGTAGGTATTTATTTCAAGTTTTGCGGTGGAGTTACCTACCCAAATTTAAACTTTTGAGTAGGTAAAATATCATATAAGAAAATGTTTCTATATCGGAAATATATATAGTTATAGGTAATACGTATTCAAATACGAATTTATATATTTGAATATAAACAATAATTACACATATAAAATATAGGGACTTTACAGCACATCTTGTGCTGTAAAGTCTAGATCAATCATCTCAGTTTGTACATTCATAGGTCATTGTGGAGTGCATAATGAAAATAAAACGTTTTCCGCGAGCAACTTAATTTGTTTCTTATAAATGAAGGAAGTTTATATTTGACTGTATTTTCTTGTGTATGTGTCTTCTACATTACACAAGACCTTCGTAAATTTTATACAATTTTTTGTCAGGCTATTTAAATAAGTCTTGTAGATACCTATATTTTTTAATTTGTCTATATTGGCTTGATATCTTAATAAATTTTATAAGGATTCTCATGTTTGTTCGTAGCTAAACACAACATAATGGAAAATTATTGTTTTAACCGACGAAAAAGAAAGATGTAGGTATTACATTCGTTTCCTATTAATCAATAATTACATACACCTATTATATATATAGGTATGTTTGGCTATAATTTATTGATCTCATTACCTATTTAGTGACAACTCCATCGGTTTGCTAAATATTGTGTAATTTTTGTATTAATTTTACTTCATATCATGTCATTAATCATGTAGGTACCTACACCGACTAATCAGTTTTATAGGTAGAAAAGGTCAAGACCTAATTAAAATTATACATCCGCCAGCTACCACAGCTGCGTGAAATATTAAAAAACAACAGATACCCTACGACATCTAAATATTTCAAACTATCTCGGTAGGTTCATTAGTTTATCTGTACAATTGTAACCGACAGTCAGGTCGATTGTGCATTTACAATATACGTATTGGATTGTAATATTAATTAGCCAGCAATGTAAAATGATCTAATGTAACTCTTATTAGGTTTTTTTTATTTACCTAATTGCAATGTAATACGTACTGGCAGCCCACCTAAAAATGTAGAGACATTTTGGCAGAATGGAATTAATTTTGGTGATTCTGGATTAAAGTCAACACAGTATATGGATTAAAGTTGTTTCTGAAGACTAAATTGTTTTAGTAAATAACTACGCGTCATCATCTACTTCATTTCCATCTAGGTAATTCTCTTTAATTTAATCCATGTTTTGTTAATTTTGAATTTAGAAACACTTTAAAATAACAAGCAGTGAATATTTTTCCGTCTCCAAAATATAAATAAAAAAATATTTAATTACAAGTATAGGTACCATGCAGAATTTGTTATTATGCAAAAGAACATTGATAATTCATAATTGCGCAGAGTTTGGGTCACCGGTCAAGTCACTAGCAAATAATGATAAGAATTTAATATACATACACCCGTTCAACTCTCGAAATCGTAAATTGAACTGGTTTTTACTGGTTTTGTATTTTTATCCAGTTGAATAAGATCAATATGTATCGGTAGATGGATGTATAAATATTTATTCATCTAATGTTCGCAGACGTAAAAATTACGAAATGACGATGTATTTTTGATGTTATAGAAGTGAATTTGTGTTATATAATGTGTTATCAAAGGTATGATAACAACACAAATAAACTACATTGAATGGTTGAAATCACATTTTAAAACCAGATTAAAGATGATTAAGGAAGTTTAAAGAAATAATAAAATTGATAAGTAATTTCATACATTCTTATTATTTTTTCTTTGAATAGTATTGTCAGAAATTGCCTATTTGACATTGTAGCAATTAAATACGAAATATATTTTTTTGGTAGCTCTTAAGTAAACAATAATCATAGAGTAAGTTTTATGCATTAAAAACATTATTAATATTTTATTTTTGGAAAATTAATCTGAGTTTTAACATAACTGACAGTAAATACAAGTAAATGTGAACAGAACTTTGTGAATATAACTGTAATATTATGTTATCTGTGATATAACCAATAAAATGTTATTATTATTAAAGTTTTTATAATTTCTAGAGCAACTAATTTAGTTGATAATTTTTTAGAGCAGTTCCTATTTTTCTTAAAGTGGGCGTCAATTTGTTTACCATTTTCAAACAGTTTCAAATAAAAAAACAATCTGATTATTAGATATTAAAATTGTCTAATTAAGAAATAAACATTATACATACAAAAATAGGTATTACTAATTATAATATTAATCACAACTTTCAGAGACTTTATTATTTCAGAGTTGTGTTTGATAAACATTGACTACCACGAACTGAGTGGGTGTCATTTTGTGTATGGACAGCAGTGAGACCAATATAGTTGCGGGTAATCTGATCGACTTCCGGATCTGTCGACTATTCTTTTCAAGGAAAACATTCGTATCTTAGTTTATAATTCAGGGACTCTACAATTTTAATTTATTGTAATTATTTGTACCTAAGGAATGCATTATCAACATTGTTTATATACTAGCTTAGAATCTCTATCCATATATTTGTACAAACAAAACTGATTGGAATAATAAATATACTGAATTTTACCATTAGAGATTAGTGAAAACAACACGTTAAGACGTTTTAAATGAGTCCAGAGAAACAAATAAACATTTTTACAATCCTTGCGTTAATAAAGTGTCCTCAATAATAGTTTCTCATATATCTTTCATGTACGTACAAATTGTTTTATTTTTATTAAATGTACACTATGCTATCTCGGTATTCTGGCGGATTAGCACAGACACCTTCCGATGGTCGTGAGTTTGATTCCAGCACAATATAAACATTTGTATTAATGAGTATTTCTGTTATTATGGAAGTTTTTCCATCTGTTTTTGCTAAAATATTAAGAGTGTTTATAGTTTTTTGATTCTACAATTCCCCTCTTCTACCAATCTTCTAAATCGTAGAGTTCTAATTTGGTATAGGAAGGGATTGTTAGAAATGTGAACTAGTTCCATTGCTAGTAACCTCCACGTTGCCTGATTTTCTTTGCCATGATCTGATTGTGTCCTCTTTCTATCACCTACCAATGGTTACTGGCCAATGAGAAAAGCCGTCATTCCATATATTTATTTTGTAATTGGAATTGTAAACAGTTTGTTGAGCGAATTGTACTACGGACATCACGTTACATCCAGAGAAATAAGATATTATGGCTTTTATCCTGCAATTTCCCACACACAGCTTACAAAGAAAGCTGCTTGTGCTTGGCGACTGAAGTTTCTTTCTCAGTTAGTAGTACCTCAGTGTCATCTAGACACTGAGGTACTACTAACTGAGAAAGATTAAGATCGTCGCTCTTTCTAGCTCGGAATTGCGATGTAGGTATAGCTATTCCTGTACGGGATCGGCACTCCATGTTCATCCTTATCGTTTTGTTAGTTCTTTGGCTGGTCCATTACTATTTCAGCATTTAAATCTGTTGGGCTACAAGACAATATAAATAAATTAAAATTGTTTAATATAGTTTCAAATCTACTTAATGCAAATGAATACTTAACCTAAATATAGTAAATTTAGAGTTAATTCCCCAGATTTGGCTCGTGTCTGTAAAACGCAATATTTCTAATCTAATATTTGATTCCACTGTTATCACAAAAACAATTAGGATCTTAGTCTTCGACAAACACTAAACTTTATCTCATCACAACTATGTAGAAACGAATGATTTAATAACATTTCGCTTGTCATGTATAATCTTTTAATTAACAATGATTAAATATTTTAATTGTATTATTACTTTAGATACAGAATGTGATAACATTCTAGGATATATCTGCTTGACGCATTGTTATCAAATAAGATGGAAAATAAACATTACTTAATCAGTTTACGGATTTTATTTGGAAGACACGGAAATACTGGAATATTTTATCTGAAATTATGTTACGTGGTAGGTAGGCCTGTATTATCGGACATATATTTAAGTAGTTTAATCACTTATTATTATTTTCAATGAGTAAGGCATCAGTTTCGTCGTATTTTACGTGTGGATAATGGAACAAGGAAATAAAATATTGGATTAGTCACTTCAACATTGTATGCGATATGATTTATCGTGTGTTTTTATACAATAAGAAAATATCATTAATTAGGAGAAATTACTATGGCCTAATTGATATGTGATGTGACTAATATTTTGGTATTTAATTGTAATCTGTATAAGTAAACTTAGGCTCTTCATGTCTATAATGGATGATAATAGAATGGTGCATCCGCCCGCTGTAACGGTATACGCTGGCGGGGCGTTCAGGATAGTTAAACTACCGTGACAAATTCATCGCATTAACCATGATGGTTTCCTAGGAAGATCACGTGAAAGTTGAGCTAACATGGTACATTGATATCCTTGGGTTAACTACTTTGTATTAGCTAAAATGTAACATTTACAATGAAACGTAAATACAATCATTACATACATACATATAAAATAATATAACAATGATCTAGCCTACCTATATGTCAGCCGTCTTTATTTAACTCGGTGCATCGACTTTTGTAACTTCTATTTTCTGAATCACCACGGCAGAATATATTTTCGTTGACGCAGCGTGGTATTTTCGTTATATGAATAAACGAAATTTGTGAATCTTGAATATGGGTGATTATTTATAGTTTCCCGTCTTTACAACCATTAACAAGGTATTTGTAGCTACTTATATTTTATGCCATGCTATTGTTTTTTATCTTTAGTTAATTTATATTACAAAATTTTGGAAAACTATTTTTAATTTTAGTTACTTACCACTGAAATTTCTGAACAGATGATACAAATAAGTTAATCATATATCTTTATCGCGTAAAATAGTAACTAGCTCATCATAGCTTAATTCGGATTACTAAGGTAGGTAAGTACTTCATAGATAATAGAAATGTGGGTAATTGTATTTTGTATTACAATACACTTACTTAAATTGTAGTGATAATTTTGATATATCATAAATACTTACATATTGGTTACAAACATATATACTACTAGCTGTGGTCGCAGTTTCACCCGCGTGAAATTTATAACTCTGCATTATACTGATATAACTCTGCATCCATCCATTTACAAACTTCCGCGTTTATAATATTAGTAAGATAAGTATGGTAGCAGGAACGGGTATGTGTAAGTCCCGTCGATGTCATGATTTGGTCAAAAAGTTTCAGCAAACTTTATCAATTTGTTACTTAACATATTGTCTGAACTTTGCTCTGAAAAGGGGGCAGTGACGTTGAAACGACGTATCCCGACGTATCGATAGCCTCTACGCGTGCGTAACGTATTTTGTTGTGTGTGTAAATGTCTAGCGGTGCACGCGGCCGGTGCGTGTTTTATATCTGTCTCATTTCCACACCCTTCTGTCACATAACGCCATCCTGTTCCTCAACGAGACTTCGCTGTTTAGCTGAGGAGTGCCGTTGATTTAAAATACATCCACATTGAATTAACCCTCAGTTTAGTTCGTGCGGCCCACTGCAACGGTTACCCAATCTTCAAGTATCGTAGCTTAGTTCGCTGCAATAGTTGTGACCACACTTTCTGAATTATCTGTTTGTGAAAATCTCTTTTTGAGAAAAATCGAGAGCTGCTAAAGCAAGTAGCTTTATAATATTATTAACTTTAATATAGGTAAGTGTCCCTAAAAATTACAGAATCCAATTTTTATACTCATCTTTAAGTAAAAGTTTCAGGAATATACGGCTGATTATTATCCGTTAGTATGTGTGATCTATGGATAAATATTGTGTTTCAGTAAATAAGTTTATTTTTAAACGTAAATACTGCTACCAAAAATTTTTTATTTATAATATCGATGAGGTATCGACTTCATTATGGTATGTTCTAAAAATTGCGATCGGAGCTATCTCGGCAAAATGGCCGACAATTTTAAGTGCAGTGGTTTCTACGCTTTCTCTCTCATCTCTAGGTCAATCGAATCTACGTCATTTCACTTTCCACTTAATCAATTAGTTATATTTTGATTCGCAGCATTATAAATAATCACATAAACTTTTTAGTATAATTAATAATTTAGCTATTTTAGTTATTTTAGCTATGTATACTTATATTAGATAATTTAGTAATATAGAAATAAAGGACCTAGCATATATAAAATCTGTGAGTTACAATTTACCAGTTCTAGTTACAGCTAGTTAAACTATATAACTAGGTACTTGTTTTTAAATAATTTTCATAATATTAGGCAATTTTATATTCACTCGGATTCCTGTCTATTGAATTGAATAATCTAATTTACTAACTTAACTACTTACTACTACTTACATCTATGATTAAATTTCTGCTAAAAAGTTTAAAACGCTTCTTTCACCGTAAAAACAATTACCTACATATAAATTATTGAGGTCCAATATTACTACCTACATTGAAAGCACTATTCATGTAACTTATAATATTATAATGATTTAGAAAAATATAATTCGAATAAGATTTATTTAATTCTTTATAAATAACTAGTTATAAAATAGCATACAAGTAGTCGTATGACGTTGACTCGTTGATCCAAGGAATTTCAAAATGGTGGATAGGGATAGTCCCTAATCAAAAAGACTGCGTTCTGTTGGTTGGGAACTTATAAATTCAAGAGATGGCGTAAGAGTGTCACTTCATTAATAATATAGAGTCATAAACTATGTTCAAGTTATTATGCCTGTACTATACAAAATATATAAAGATATTAAAAATGAATTAATATTTTATAACGATATTTTAAAATTTATTTAATTTCTTTGTCACTTTTGACAATATTCCTATTTGATCATACAATATTACATAATTAATGTTATTGGGTTGCCCTCTCCCACGTTGATTGCATTCAACAGATTACAAAAAGTTAGTTGTTGGGTTTGTAAATTTTTGTTATTTTATTTACATCTCAACTTAGTTTTTTTGGGTGAATGTGACTATTTTCTATTCATATAGGTAAAATAACATAGGAATAAAAGAAAAATGTCTCTTGTTGATATAAAATGTTTGCGTTTTTGTTTATTGTATTTTATTTATGGGTATACAATCTGATTTGGCAATCGTTATTTTGTCATAATGTCGTAGGTATAATAAAAAATGTAAATAATATAAATAATAAAAAAAACTAAATTTGGGTATCAAATGTTGGTGAAATATCACTTAGGGGTATGAACGAATACGTTTAGATCCTAATCTCAGACCTAATGAATATAGGCACAAAATTTAGTAAGAATCAGTCCAGCCGTTTCGGAGGAGTTTTGTTAAAACTCTATGATATGATATGTATATATTACAAAATATCTTCAAATACCACTATGGCAAGTCTAGAAAATAAATATACATTAAGATGCACACTCCATGTTCATGATTTCGGTTGTTCCCGAAGGTATTTGACAAGTAATGGGCGGATTTTGGAAAAAAAATGTCTACCTGAATATACCTAATTTTACTGTGACTCACATCTTCCATAGCAGGTAGTACAAATAAAAAATAGAATAACTGTAATTGTAAAAAGATATCATCATTATAAAACATTTGAGGAAAAGTGCATAGATATGTACATTCGCAATATGACATAAGTGGAATATTCCATTGGCAAAGAACAATTTATATAAAAGTGGTTTAAATCAACTGTTTCAATAATACGTCATCGGTTTAGAATGGGCACCAAAACATAAGACATTGTATTTGGATACATACGATAAATACAGAAATGGGTAGAAATAAAAACAATAGCTGACTAACATAACAATTCATAAATTGTACAATTTCCTTAAAGTTGGCAATCACTGTACCAGTTATTTTAGTGTTACTGTACAACTGTAAGTAATATGTATATCTATTTATTGAGCTGTGTAATTAACATATAGGTAGTACTCGTATGTGAAAACCACAGACAAAATGATAATATACAAGAGTTGCCACTCTGGAATAGCTTACAATACCTACATAGTATAACTGTTAATAACTATAAAAATTTAAATTATATTTTCTGTGTAAGTTTTCTACATTTTATTTTTTTGAATTCTTATTAATCTTCGAATGGACTTTGTAATGCCACACACGAATCAAATCGATTCGATTTCGACGATCGATTTGATCGAAAAATCGATATTTGATGAAATATAAATTGATATACGTATCTGGATAACTATATTGTATTGTATGTAATTTGGTAAATAAATACAAAAAATATAGTAAGTACCTATATTATATACGCAAATAGCCAAAAGATTTCGGTATAATGGTTTTGGTGTTTACTTTCCTTAAAACATACAAAATCTCATAATATCATATAAATGTGTATTAAAAATATTACTCTACAATACGTCATATATTTTTAAAATTTACTGCATTTGCAGTTCATTACAGAGAAAACAATGTGATATTTTCGATATAACATTATGAATAGGCGATTGTATGGTTTTTCCCGATTTTTTATTAAAAATGTGAATTATATTCCATTATTCAAAACGGTTAAAGAAAATTTCTAATTCGGATATAGTCGATATATTAACTGAATGTATATGTATATTCTTTTCGTGAAAATTGTAAAGAAAAGTTATAAATGTCACAATATTTGTATTTAGGTACTATTGGTTGCTTTACGCACGCATGCCGTTTAATTTAAACACAATGATTTATGTCGACTATACACGCTACGATAAATCGATACTTACTGTATGGATTTCTATATCTGTTCTAATTTATTTATCGTAGTGAGTTTTTATTCATTCTCTTTATGTTAATCATAGTAACAGTCTTCTTCTTTGAAAACAGTAACAACAATATAACATCAAATTGACTGATTGAGTATATTCTCAATACGTTTTATAGTATTAGGTATATCGTATATTTGCTAAATGTAAAAGATTTCCACAATTCGACGAAGCAGTCGATACGGTTACTTCTGATTCGACGTCGTGCTAATTTTCTGCCGTTCTAGGAAACCAATATTTCTATAGAATATTCTCGTTGTTTAGCTATATTAAGAACTAAATAATTTGGCAAATGAAGTGTTCAAAGTAGTTTAAAAACTAAATAAAGTACGATGCCATAAATTTGAAGTGGATGATTTTTGTTTTATGTCTATAACTTAATAATATTTCACAGTACTGAAAACAAACAATGCTCGCCAGCCAAACTATGGAGATGCAAGCCGAGGAAACCCCATTGGCTCTCCAGCGTCTCTGGAGTTTGACCCGCGCTCGTCTCGCGGGAACTTCTACAGCTTCCGCATTGAATGAGGAACCAGCGCTTGTAGAAGAAACATTATCTTACGTGCAGGTGAATTAATACAGCCTTATACACTAATATATATATATAATATTAGGTTTATATTTATTATAAATGGGGATTGATCGAGTTAATTTGTCTGCTTTTAAAGTTTTTTTAAACAATATAATTGCCTATTAATGGAATCTATAAAAAAAAGTAGAAAAGGACTTAAAAATATCTCTGCTGGAGTAATTAGGAATTATTTGCATATTTTTGTTGTATGGTTTTGCTATTTATATTAGGTACAATATTTATTATATTACACAGACATAGATGTCTGAATGGTATTAATAAGATTTACATTTAGTTTAGCAGTTGAATAGGATTTAAATCCTGCTTTGACATTTCTTATAAATACCTAAGATATAATTTGATGCGTTATATCATCACGTTTCCGGCATAAATTATATAAGGAAAATAAAAACCACGTAAAAGATTTCCTTCGAAATTTAGAAAAAAATATTTTTAATTGGAATAAAATATTTCATCGAAATTCAAAATGCATAGAGCAATTAACACAATCATTTACAACAGTTGGTAGCGCCCTTATGAGAAAAATTATCTTTAAATGATTACAGTAATAAACAACTCTTATTACAAATATAGGTCGATATATTTTAAAAATAGCGTTAACAGAATGTTTCGATGTATTTTTGTCAATTTTAAGTTATAATCTCGATACGACGAGGTCAGTATATTGACCTCGCTGAAAAAATGTCCTTCCTCAAATAGCCATCGTTCATGCTCGATAGCAGGAAACGAATATGATATTTTATTTATAATTATGTAAGCAATACAATCGGTTTCTTGTTACGTGACAGCTGTGTTTAAATATATTACAATATCGCTAGTATTTAAAATTGGACTAATATAAAATGTTTTATCAGCAATATATCAGACCAAATACAAATTGTATGTGCACATGTAAGACACCGTTGGGTTGTTATTTTTATATTATTGTTATATAACTAGAATGGCAAACAAGCAAATTTATGGTAAGAAACAATATACCCGTACATGAACAGCACCATGACATCACGTTATCATGTGACACCCGTGATACACATGAATTACCATTGCTGAGGTCTGAATGGCATACTTCTAATTCTGTAAATTTCCCATACAGATAGATAGGATATATTAAAGCAAATATCTATATTTTATTTTGGGAAATGATAAATAATTGGTGTAATAGCTGTCGGGACATTTGAAGGAGATATGACATGAATGAAACAAAATAACGGATGGATGTCAGAAATGAACTGCTAAGATTTAATATTATTTTCTATGGAACTGCACGGGAGTTTAGTTAGACAGCTTCCGTGTGGGTGTAGTATAGTAGAAATAGCCGTACAAATAGCTATTTTATGGTTCCGTCATGATACAACAACGCGTGCGTTGTTATTTTTCAGTTCAAATGCATTTATTGCCACAACGACATAAAATTGATTATTATATGTAAATTACTTTTATCGCAGACAAGAAGTAAGTATGAAATGATTAATACCTAACAGCGAGTTTCAACGAAAATAAAATAATCGCAATTCTTTTAATAATAGAAATGAGTTGAGTAAGTCAAGGATTATTGGAAGATGTAGCCTCATTTCAGTATCTTTATTATACTTACTCTTTATTCGCTATTGGAGTCAACATGATTAAAGATAAGATATATACTTTGTTGATTCTAGAATATTCCAGACGAGTAGGTTTGACATAGTACTACGTCATAATATAGTAAATAACGGATAGCAATAATTTATTGCTTCAACACGGAATAAATGTTAAAGCTTATCTAGTACCTATATTAAAGTTTGTTGTGTAAAATGTAATGTTATTTGTTATTAGAAGACGGAGGGATCTTCAAAAGCATTGGCACCCACAGCCAACGACTATGAGAGTGACAGTGAAGAGGTTCATGGATTGGAAGTGGCTGTAAGTACAATATTATTGTCCGAAAAGTCATTTCACTGAATAAATATTTATCTCACGTGTTTTGGAAGTACAAGGAAGTTATGATTGTTTCTTGATATGTTTATTAATCACAGAATCATGTAGCGTCACACCCCCACCGACTGTTATGTTATCTATATCGCGAGTCATATTCTCGTGTCTAGACGACATAAAAACAATACGATATGTGATAACGGTTATACTGAATTATGTGAATGTTCTAGTAGAATCGGGAGCCAATCAGTACACTTGATTGTCTTCTGTAATATTACCGTTGTTGTGATTCACAGATTCACTATTCTATTAAAAGAGTTAAGGTCAATAACATTCATTAATTATATTTTTAAAAGGTTACAAAAATTAAAATTGTCTTTATGAAGAATTTCTATGATGTACCTAATTTGAATTTAGTATTTATAGAACACAATTCAAATAAGTAATGGAACATTTTTCCAATGCCAGCAAAATTTTCTAGAGAAATATATACAAACGCTTTGAAATAGAACTATCAATGTAAACATGTCAATATAAAAACGAACTTTGCTCCAGCTATTTGCCGCAATCATCAAATCATGAAGGCAATTGGAAATTGATGCTCAGTCAGAGCATTTATTGCATCTGTAGCGTATTATATTATACACTAGTCTACGTGATGCTTACAAAGTACTTAATATCAATTGCTTCAATTGAAATGTGAACGCCAATTTCAAAGACGCAATGTTTATTGTTATACATACATACATACATTTAAAAACACGACTTCATTTATATTTTGTAGTTTTTAAAGAAACCCCATCCCATATTAATCCAATATTTGTTATTCAATAATATATTTTAAATGAAATGCACATAAGTTACACACTTAATGCTACATTTATCTCTACATTTTCTCTTGGCAAGATCGATAGGCAATAAGATGACGCGTAGGATACATATATACAATATGTATAGTTCTTCCTTGATGAGTTGTTTAGACGAGCTTTCTTTATTCTGTGCTTCAGCGCTCACTAGACCGGTCACTGTTTATTCTATTTTATTATACTATATACATATATTTTCAATGGCAATGTTAGATAAAGTTGTTTACGAGGAATATGAAAATTTTTTTGTAGATTTTAAAGAAGTGAGTAAAAGAAATGTGGGTAGGCGTAATTTACGCTCAAACGTGAATCACTGACCGCATATTTGGATCATCATATTTTTATAGGATGTGTACGAAGCGCCCTGCCAACGTTACTGGAGTAATAATTCGAGGGATAAGGAGGTGTTACTCGATGCCAGCACTTTAGGAGATGTGCCCGCGGTCTACCGAGTACCGCCACTGGGTCCGCACCAGATGCCGGTTATCGGGGTGTACATCGACCCCCGTGTCAGAACCGGCTTCAGATATAAAGTTAGACCGATGCAGGTGAGACGAGTAATTTAATTTAAAACTTAACGATGTCGCAACTCTCGTATCATATCGCAGGGCTATGGGGTATAGTCGTGTTGGTTTTAAACAGAAGTGTTGAAGATTGCATTCAGATAACTTAATATGCAATCTTCCACATTTCATATAGGTATAATTTTTACCTTTACACAAAATATTATAAAAAATACGACTATACCTTATCAGATGTTCAGTGTTGGCTTAAGTCATCGACGAATTTGTATATAACAAACTACGCTTTTGTTCATCAACGTGGTATTTACATACATGGGATACGAAAAGAAAAACTACGAAGATCCATATAAGATTTCGGGCAAAATTATTAAACTGACCTGAACTGTGAAAGAGACAGCTACGCACAAAATAACGATATACCTAGGTGTGAACTGAGTTTGGACTTGCTATCAACAATTACTCTTGTACTTTTTACTTTACTTGTATTGAAAGGCAAATTTTGTAATTGAACTTTGATGTTATATCTTAAATGAAACTGTATTTTTATAGATATTTAAAACGAAGTCGTTTGTGGTTAATTAACAGAATATTTTTGTAAGATTTTATCCTTTTCAGGATCTAGAGGATGGTGAGTTTTTCATTATCTTACAAAAACATTCATGGACTATGCGAATACTCTTAAAAATATAACATATTTTAAATTTAATTATAACAGAATGTACAACAATTTTATTTGTATTGCAATTTAATATAGCTATAGTAGTGACAAAAGGTTATTCGCAAAGTATCAAAGCAATATAATTACAAGCGATTTATATAAAAAAATATTAACTTACGTCAAAACAAGAAAAATGTATTTAATGCAGTAATACTAGTATATACTTAAGTATATACTTAATAGTGAGATCATATGATCTATTCCATCTCTTGGTTACATAATCAATATATATCTTGGTTATGGAATACTCCTATTTGACATAGAGTTAGTACATGTAAATCAGAAGGGCTTCTTATACCTAGTAACAACGTTAATTATTGTTAATAAAAAAAATCTACTATGTTTCTAGGACATTGTATCCTATTCGTATGTTGTTATACATACGAGTAGGATTACTGTTTAAAATGTCCATACAACTATGGTAGTGGTAATATTTCAAGATGATATTGACGAAACTCTGATTGTTTAAAGTTAACGGTCTTAAAATGGGTCCAAAGTCATTTCTTACAACCTAAAAACGATCGCTAGCAGTTCAGGTACAGATGCAAATTGTTTAGATTTGAGTAGTGGGTTAGTCGAGTGAATAGCGGTGTCCGTTGCTGACATTTCCAGAGTGAAATTATCATCAACGACCAACACTGTTAACACGTATATATGGCCACTATTTGTGTGCACTTGTCGTATAGGCGATGGTATGTGGATCGTCCAGTTTTTCAGAACCTCGCCCAGATCGGCATTGAATACAAACCTCAAGATTGCTTGCCGTGACCCGACAGGTCGAAAGTGACATACTGGCTGGGAGCATGTAATGTTCAAAATAGGTAAACCATAAGTATCATTCATAAGGGCGTCATGCCATAATATTCATATAAAAGAGAAAATGTGATGTTGTTATGATTATTATCCACCGCATCAGTTCATTTCGTGTTGTTATGCTCATTGTTTATTAAATATCATTGAACATAAAATTCGCCAATAAAATAGTCATAGCATTGATCACAATTCAAAACATTTGTGTTTTCAAAATTAAATTTAAGAACTGATTTTTTTATTTATTTCTGATTCATTATATTGAAAATAATTAAAAAATTCACAGTATTCGATCTGTTAAAATTGATTGATTGATTGTAAAGTGATAAATAAATTTATAGTGAAGCGTTTTATACCGAACTGTGTGTTATATTGTAATATTATATTTCAGGCTCTAGATGCTGCTCCATTATCAGTGAAGCCGAGGTATTTATTTGATGGAAAGGCCCTTACTCTACAATCAATTGGTCGAGGATATGCACGACGAATCACCTTCGAGCCCCATGATTGCACACTCAATGAGAATAACAATTATTTCTGGACTGACTCCAGGCCGGAAGGATTTGTGTTTGAAATAGAGGCTATTTCCATCGGAGACAAGTTTACTATCTATGATGCTAATCATGAACCACAAGGAATTTTGGAAGTCGTACAACAGCAGGTAAGATTATTCATAGGTTCCAGGTTCTTGACGAATAGATTGACATATTTAGGAAAGTGTGTCTATTTGCATATTTATATTTGAAATTAATGTGTTAGGAAAAATCTTACTTTAAATTTAAATCTACCAAATACATATATTATCTCAAAATTTGCTATATAGTCAAATCTTATATATCCTTGCGAATAGAATATATAGTCACTCTTAATTTAAAACCATATTCTTAATAATTTGTTTTTAATCTTAGACGATTAAAGAGTATCTATAATTTTCTTAACAGAAAAACCAAATTGAACTGGATCAAAAAATTTACGATGATGGAGCAATTGTTAAAAAAGTGAAGATCAATACACTATGCAAAGTTGAGTGGTATGAGAATGATGGTGCTACAAAACTAGTCCCAGTCACTGGTATTGCTATTCTCAAGAAAGGACGAGGCAACGCGGTAATAGAGAGGGTGGTAAACGTTGCTATTGGTATCAAACAATTGAGGAAAGGATACGAACTTAGGTCAGGCATTGAATCTTCGTCCAGAAGGATCACAGTCAACGGAGGCGACATCAAAGACATTCCATGCCAATACTGTGTTGTTGGTCTCGAGAAATATGAGCTTCCCGTTATAGGTAATTTAACTCGCATATGTTTTGAATGTATCTGTAAATTATGTCACATAAGGAAATAAATTTTAATTGTATCAAGAGAAAGTGCTAATAACGAAATTTCTGTTAATGTAATAAACAATAAATTAAAGAAACATATACCTTTAGAACAGGTATAGTCTATTATTTTATTAGGACTTGTAATTATTAAAATTATAAAACCTGCGAGTACAATTAATTTATTATACCTCTAACTTTCCTAACAAAAAAATCTAATAAAAGTAATAAATTTTAATTTGTCCATATTAAATGAAACTATTGACAGATCGAATAGATTCGATTATTGAATATGAAATTTTTATTTGTAGGAACATATGTTGATCCACGTATCATCCCTGGCTTCCATTACCGCGTGAGGCCTGCTGGCAGTCGGCGCCATCTTTTCGAAGGCCGCAGCCTGTTACTGCAATCTGTCGGCATGGGTTACGGCAAACGCATTACCTTCAAGTCTGACAGCCTAAACTCTCCTGACAACTACTTTTGGTCAGACTCACACCCAGAGGGTATGGGCATAGAGACTCGAGCCATACATCCTGGCATGAAATTCACTATTACCGGAAACGGGGTAAGCAGCATACAAATTACATCCATTAGTATATAAATTACAATAGTAAGACGCAATGACTATAATGAATAGTCAGACAGATGTCGTTTTGTTTACTCGCACGTGATGATTCAATACAATTTTGGCAGAGGTTAATTTCTAATTGCATTTCACGTTGGTCTTTTGCCAAAAACCTTGGCAGTTCCTGTCATATGTCAAGTGTTTATAACGTAATTTACACTACAAGGTCAGTATAGAAATATTGTTGTTGTTACAGGGTCTTTTGGGAGAAGCAAGCGTGTTCCGAGCTGATTTACCACAAGTTGAAGAGAAGACAGTATTTGTAGATGTACCCAACAAACGCGGAAAGACTGTGGAGAAGTACGTGCACGTGGATGTCACCTGTCACGTGAAACTGGCGACAACAGGCGGAGGGTCTGTGGACTCTGAAGTACATCTGATGAAGGTGTCAGGGGTAGCACTCCTGCGTAAAGAGTCTGGAAGTTCTGTAGCAAAACTTGTAAAAGTTTTCAATGTAGGATTAGATTCTCAATTGAACTTGTTGTTCGCACACTCACAAACAGAGCTCACCTTCCATCCTCTTCCCTAAGTTGCTACACAAGACCTGAATGGTATTGCAACACTTGTGGCAATAATGCCGGTATCACAGTGTTGTAATCCCAAAAAGACTCACCTGGCGCGCCAGAGGCTCCGTCGAACGTCAATCGATTTGGTCAAGAGTTTTTGCAACCGAAGGAAGACTTTGTCTATTGTACTGTGGCATAATGGTTTGCTTGTATGACTCGGTTGTAGAGTGGTTTCAATATGTCATCAATGAAACATCTGAAAGGTCTAAATCCTATCCATCGGTTATTAGGTACCTACTACCTATTCGAATATTACAACATAAGAAGTAGGACTAATAAAATATTTCCAAGGTATTATTATTCTATTAAATGAAACTGAAAAATCATTGTTAATTATGTTGACTGTCAGTATTTTATTTAACAATTAAAACCATAATATAACAATTAATAAATCAGATATCATTGAAGAGAGCAGCCTAAGCAAGGGCATTCGCCACCAAAAGCAATGGTTCTGTTTTGAGACATTAACTTAATCATATATTTGTCAGGTTCTCTAAATATAGTTTTGTTGTCAATTTAATTTAAGTTTGTTCTCCAATATAACATACGTTTTTTATATAATAAAAATATTTTACAATAATATGTCATGTTTCATTTCACGTTTTTGGCTATAAGACCATAAGTAAGCAATCGCAAAGTAAAATATATATTTCTATTTCGTTAGTTACATTTTTATAATCCTGCTGAAATCTTTCAATCTAATCCTTAATATTATGAACGCGATAGTTTGTGAGTATGGATGAATATTTGTTACTCTTTCGCGCAAAAACTACTGAACGGATTTGGATGAAACTTTATAGTAATATAGCTTATACATCAGAATAACATATAGGCTATAAATTTCACACGAGTGTAACCGCGGGCACAGCTAGTGTTCTAGTATTCTACATTTAGTAAAAATAAACAACAGAATTTTCTTTGGCCAGTCTAAAACGTCCTACATGAATAAATTATTTTTTATTTGATTCCTATAACAGTCCAATTTAGCCTGAAGGGCCTCCAAATTCTTATGGAAATATTAGAATATACCTTATATTCTAATATTTCCATAAGAATTTGGAATTCTATAAGAATTCCAAAGGTCGCGGGTTCGATTCCTTGCACGATGCATTCATGAGTATGATTTTTTATATATGTTTTTTATGGCCTGGGTGTTTTTGTGTAGGTATATTATGTATGTATTTACAAAAATAAAAGTATTTAAGTACTTATATCAATCGCCTTGTATCCATAACACAAGCTCTGCTTAGGTTTGGGCCAGATGGCCTTGTATGAATTCAGGGTTGTTATAAATATTATGTAAATTCACGAAAATTTATTAGTAACAACATTTACTCCTTTTCCTTAATTTAAAATATAATAAGAACCTATATAGCATTAAAAATAAAAAATAAATAGTCTGACAAGGTGGGTTGCCAAGCTGACGGCCAATCTGGAGGAAATTATTAGGTAACCCCGCTTATAACTTTGCTATATACCTACTCAGAATAATTTAAAAATGGATAAAGGATTATATATTTCTTGCCTGTATACATGAATAGCACTATGAATATTAAGTTATCATGTGGCACCCTTGATACTTATACCTGTTATCGTGTACTTTCGTTGCCTTATCTCACCCTATAACCGAAGCATATATTACAAAAGCAAAGTACTTACTTGGCGGCTGAAACAGGTAGATTGAATATTATTATCACAATATGATGGCTGTTAACTCCTTCTTAGTGCATTCCTGTGTCTATTTTCTCAATTAGGTAGGTAGGTATAGTATTTCTATAAATAAATTTATCAGGTTATAGACCCAGTTTTCTTATGGAAATAGTAATAATTATAAAACGAAAATACAATGTGTTTCCGAGGATTCTAAGTCACGTTGTTGAGTTTATCCACCATTCTTTGATTTAAGCATTGTTTTTTAAGATTCCATTACGGCATTAATTAATTCAAATTGCAACAAATGAAAAGTTGAGCTACCGCCATAATTAGACAAAAAATTCCACGTGAATTACTTTGCATGCTTTGACCGTTGAAGTTATGTAACAAGTATAATAATGTATTATCTATGGAGTTATGGAAGCTCTCCGCAGCAATAAAAAAGTACTACCTACGAGGTTTGAGCACGAATCACGTTAAATATTTATATAAAGTGCATAAAAAGCTGCGAAATAACAGAATCCAATGTCAATCGTTCGGATTTACTTTCCAAATTAGATCGGAAGGATAATGTTATAAATTTAAAATTAATGTTTTTGAGATATTATTCAGTAAAAAATTACACAATGTTAATTTCAGCACTTATGTTTTAGCTGTTTGATGAAAGCGCAATCTAGCATTTAAACGATAAAACATGTAGTATTGTATCGTGGATCCAATGAAAGTGGATCGTCCATTGCATGGAATGAATGGGTGGGTGGCAGTGTATTCTTGTAGTTTCCAATGTATGTCACAAGATGGCGGTAATACTAGTTTTCAAGTTCAGAGTAGGTAAACTTATGAGTCTATATAGTTTGTGTATGGAGATTGTAGACCGGCCGTGACAGACTCGTCCGTCGACCGGCCGTAGTGTCGCTTGTGTGTACATTGCCACCCGCGGCGCCACTATTCTACGAAAGTCGCGATGTGCCAATATCTGACTCGGACATAGTATACAGATGAGATGAAACGATAAAATATCACGATATAACGAACAGTGTATATGATGGCTACAAAATTTCGACGCTGTGTTTGTTTATTTTACTATATTTTTAATATTGTGTATAGTTTTAATCTAGAACCAAGGATTCCAGTGATAAAGTACGGGGAGGCGGGATCTTATTTTGGATTTTCTGTTGCTGAACATCTTACTTTTAACAGCGATGGAAGTAAAACCAGTTGGTAAGTATGTAACTTACTTAAGTTATCTCAAAGCGGTATGATGTCATGTGTGAAGGTCGACCTCCATATGGTTTACTATAAAAATATTTTTGTGTGGAAATATATTACAATAACATATAGGTAGATAGGTAGTTATCCATTTGGTTTTAAAACTACGATAAGTATGTTATCAGAAATATTATTATGATTACGAAGGTATAACAGATTTATTAAATTGATACTGTTGACTCTTATGGACATTTTATTCTTATCATATTTCGCAATGCCTACTTAAGTATAACATACATCTTCTGCACTTTCTAAGTGGCCATAAATCATTCCATTTTTTAGAACCAAAAGAACGTCGACAACACTTATCGTCCACTAAACAACAACCAGTGCCCACTTTCCCTTAACAATGTGTATTTTGTAAATAGACAATGGCCTACACCGTAGACTTTAAGATAAAGCACGCAGGTAGGTATATAAAAAGTTGCGACCGTCGAGCTTTTCTACCTGTTCATTCGTAACTAGGATAACCTTGCTACGGTGTTTGCAGTGAGGATACACTCATAAAATCCAAATGAACAACTAAAACCAGCAAAATCTTGACGAACTAAAAAAGAAAAAAGTCTCAAAGAAAGTAAAGCTTTATTTTTACTACCTATGTACAATTGAAATGTTAGATAAACTTGATACCATGTTTTTAACCATATTTTTGTTACTATTATTATATACTATTAGGTAAAAATATTTTTTAATATCTTATGTTGTATCTCAATTCTAAGGACACGTCGTGTGACTTGTTCTTAGAACACGATTCACGACTACAATAAAAATAAATATTCCCTATACTTATAACAAATCAAATAACTTTATCACAAAAGATTAGATAAATTCATATTTATCTAATCTTTTAGACATATATCATACATAGAAGATATTATGTGTTTGGTATATATGTATATATATATAAATATATATCTCTTTATATATAAAAATTACGTGTCACGTTGTCTGTCCGCGATAAATTTGATCCAACATGAAAGATAGGATACCTCTCAATTTATAGTCGCAATATTATTTTATTCAAGAATCTTAGCCACAGGCAACGGGTGGCCGGGTCTGCTCGTATATATATGTATATATATTTGTGCTTTTCAGCGCGCATAATCTACTTTTGTACGAGGTAAGGAGAAAGAATAATAATAATAATTTATTATTAAAATGTCATTAATTCGCAATAAATACAAATAAAAATATCACAGAACATGCAACTCTATCAGAGATTACTGAATATAGATCAGATAAACTCTTGATAGATTCATAGCGTCAGCTCTCAGACTTGATTCAGGACCTGTACTACTTCCTAGATTAGTTTACAGTGTCTAGATAAATGTTACGAGCTGCTACAACAAACTGGAATATTTCCAACGTTCCTCGACAAGTACGTTGCTCTAATAAAATTATCTTGTCTGTGTGTCATCTTTATTTTTTAATCCTATTAAAAAAAGAAGATCAATTGTATTCTTTGGGTAGCTATGTTGTTTAATGCATGAGTATTTAATGGTGCTTTACGTTTATGGTATACGCTGGCAAGGCACCAGTGGAGTATCAGCGTGAAATCAGTTAGCCCATCGTGGTAAATTCACCAGCGATTAACGATGATGGGCCCTAGAGGTGACTGCATGGAGGTCGACCTACCATGGTACATTACAAGCAATGGGTTTAGCCCATGCACAATCAGATCAGTTAATCTATCGTGACTAATTCACTAGGACTTGACCGTGATGCTTTCAAGACGTGTACTTGTTATATATTAATCCGTATTGGATTAGAGGTACATTATAAAAAGTACGAATACAAAGTAATTTTATAACCATAAAATAATTTTAAGTACTATGTACGAGATTTTAACCACCGATATAATATTATTAAGATTATAAAAGATAAATAAATCTGTGTTTGAGCTGGTATAGGACCATGAATGAGGGTATGCTAAGATCGTCTATGATACTGCGAGTGTAATGACCTACAAACACATGTCTAGATAGACGGACAAGAGATAATTATATCGTAGCAAAATTTTTGATGCTGATGGGGACACCACTTCGCCGTATAAGCATAAGTCTATAAAAATAATTATTACTTTGTTTAATATATTTACTAATTACTAACTATGTTAGTTTCTATGGATTTAATTTATAATAAACACACCATATAGTAAAACTAAAGATCCATGCGTAGACTCAAACACAGATGTCTTCTCACAGTTCCATATGATTTTGTTACATGTCTTCATGTGAATTGTTTTTTACCGTTTTAAAAACAATGTCGATAGTGATATTCCTTTAGTACTTTTGTTTTATTTAGTAGAAACATAACGTTCACATATACGGAATTTATGAACCCATAACTACGGTTAATGTTTTGACACACCGTTGTAAAGTTTTATGGCATTTTGTAAACTAGTCCAAATATAAATAGTTGTCGAAAGAAGTCGCTCTATACCATAATCCCATATCTGGTCAAATGGGGTCGTCCCCCATACACGATTCACACCAATTAATACTTTCACACGTCGCTCACAGCGGGGCGTTTCTACGAACTAGTAACTATTTATTTGTGACACAAAAATCTATATTTACTTTGATGGTACACCTACGTATTGGGTTAATATATTTGTTCATATAGTGGTACAATAAATTAATGATAACATAGTAATGGATATTTCTTGATAGGAAATAAAATTAAACTTATTACTAGGTCGCGTAATGAAGCTGTAATAAAATTATGACGGCGACAGAAGCTATACTGAGGATATAAGAAATTATCAGTAATAGTGTTTACTTCAAACAAATATTGTCCACATAACCGGGATATACAGTATGTACATATATTGATTGATCGAGATAAAACGTAGCCTTATCTATGTCTTGTCAAAAATACGTGTAGATAATTAAATAATAGTCCAAGAGCTAAAAAGGTATAAACATATAACAGGTACGCAAATATATAACAATTTGTATCAAAACGTCCAACTTACTGTGTATGCGCATTTTTTTTGTTTCCGTTGACGAAGTAATCGTGATCTGACGTGTGTAATGGTTCCCGTAATTCTCCCCTGACACATGCGAGTGTTTTCCAATTAATAAACATCACGGTAGCCCTAAGATGGTAACTCGATTATTTATCGCCGTTATTTATAAAAACAACAAAATGTCGCGCATGTACTCGTATGTACAATACTTATGCGCGTTATATGTAAATTTAATCTTTTTCCATACAATAAATGTATTACCTACAGTGAAAATAATCTTAATAAAATTTTGAAAGTTGTCCCTCAGTCTATTCTATTGATTTTCTGATAAAATGTTCATGTTTCTCATATACCATAGTAATAAGATAACGTATTCTGTAGTATTTACCTTAGTAAACTTTGATTGCCCCTTATATAACGTAGACTTTGTTAAAAGTCAGTTTGTACTTCAGTATCGTCTATTTCAGCTGCCAAGTAGCTTGTCTTATAAGCTGTGTTTTCGATTGATGGACAACGAAATAAAATAAAATTACAGGATTAGAAACATGATATTTTAGTTCTCTGGAAAGGCAACACATCGGCAGCGGTATCACTGTCGTCTTAGTATTACTCGATGTGGGTAGTACTGTTCATGCTATATGCTATAGTTACCACTTACTATCAGGGGGGCGTCAGACAATAGCTAACAGCCTGCAACAAATAAGGATATACTTAGATAGCTCGCATGTTTTAATATAGGATAAAAATTGGTATTTAAATAGATCAATTAATTGTGATCAATAGTTTTCGCTTAAAAGAGTAATTAACGACCATTCAACTTTATGATATTGGTACGATTTTCCAGACAAATTCAAACAATGTTTTAAAATAATAATAATAACCCTAGATTTCCGGAGCGAAAAGAAGATAAAATGAAACCCTGGACTTCACACAATGCCATGTAAGCAGCGCTTGTGTACTAGACTATTAAATATACTTAAATACATACTTACATAGCGTATGTAGCAAATACCCAGACCGATACAAACAATCATACTCGTTATCAATCGTACACAAATGTTTGCATTATTCGAGAAATTGATCCCGCGACTATCGGAAGGAAAGCGGCATGCTAAACCGCTAGACGACTAAGGTCATGAACACCGAATTCACTGACGGAACTCTCACCCACGGGAGTGTGTAGGAGTCTACACCGTAGCAACTAGTCCTTTTTTTATGTGTAACTAGAGTGACTATAACTTCTGTATAAATTCAAAAATCTTATTTCCGATTGTAATAAGTATTATGATTTGGATATGACATGTGTGCCTTTTAAAATAGGTAACGTACTGTATTGATTCTATAGTTTTACCTTTTAAATAAATTGCAGAAAATGGTATAGCCTCTTACTATTATATACAATACTGTGACGTTGTCGCTATTTATTATTTTAATTAAGTAAGTATTACGTATGTAAAATGAAATAATGAGATGACTGCGAACAGGGACGAATGGATGAGAATAACAAATGACGCCGACCCTAAATAAATGGAATACGGAAGAGGCAGATTATGACTTTTCTTTGAAGCAACTCCAGAAAGTATGCCAAATATTATTTAGTCAAATTCAAAACAACTGCGAATTGGAAATCTTAGCAACTTCAGTACCACATTTATCACCGCTCTCAGTATTTTTATTACCTGAAATCGATTTTAATGGTTTATTTTATCGGCAACTAGCTACTCGCTCCGGCTTTGCACGGGTGTTCATGTATTATATATAACCTTCTTCTTGAATCACTCTATCTATTAAACTTTGTTTTATACTCGTACTATGTAATGATGATGTAAAAATAATATCAGAGTATATGAAATTAAAGAATATCCTATAAAAATCTAAACTTTGGTTATTAGGTCCAGAGAGTCAGGACTGCTGCGGGACACACTCTACTATGATCAACATACCCATTGTTGGAACGAGTTAATTATATTTGTGGTCACTT